GGGGGGAGAACAAGGGAATCCGTGGCTGATATGTAAAATTAAATTTAGTAAATAAATTTAAAAAATGAAAGAAAAAAAAAGTTTGAGGCCTGCCTGGGCTGCAGAATGAGTTCAAAGCCAGCCTGGGAAAGTTAGTGAGATACTTTCAAAATGAAAGTTCAGGGTCTAGAGAGATGGTTAAGAACACTGACTGCTCTTCTAGAGGACCTGGGTTCAATTCCCAGCACCCACATGTCAGCTCACAACCATCTATAACTCTGATTCCAGGGGATATGATGTCCTCTTCTGGACTCCAAATGGCACCAGGCATGCACGTAGTGCGGAGACATGCATGCAGGGAAATTGCCCGTACACATACAGTAAAGTAATAAAGTAACATAAAAGTTCAAAAAAGACTGGAGGTGTAGCTAAACAATAATGTACTTGCTTGTGATGTGTGAGGCCCAGGCTCGGTCCCTAGCACCACGAACAGGAAGAGAAAGAGAACCTGGCACTTGCCCCAGAAGACATCACTACATCTCCTGCAGCCTCAGTCCATGGGAGTGGGCAGCCTAGGGGGTAGCGGTCAGGATCTAAGTAACAGCAACAGAAAGTGACCTCTGCTGACATCAGCAGAGGATAAAGAAATGCACTGTTCATCAAAGCAGCAGCCCCAGACAGAGCCACACTGGGGAGGTGACAGGCACCAAAGATGAGGCCTCCAGAGCAGTCTGAACAGGATGCATGTGGCCCCTGGCCTCTCAACCTCAGCTGCTAGGGGGAATAATCTCCAAGTCCTTGGTGCCTGTGGGAGTTTCCCTTCTTTCTGAATCCTCATACTAGCTGCCAACGTGGGGAACCACCAGCCTGTACTTCAGTCATTCAGATATCCACCTGTCCTTGAGGCCTTCACTCCGGCACAGGTGAAGCCCCTGTCTCTGCAGCCCTGGGCAATCCCTGCCCCTGACAGGTGAGTTTGCCTTCTCTTTGAGGGTGCCCCTCAGTGCTCCCTGGCCCTGTGGCTGGAGGAGTGGAGCTTAGAGCTGCTGAGGACTACAGGCCCCGGGAGCCAAACATGGCCCTAGGGGGCAGGAAAGTCTCAGGTTATCTGTGTGACAGCAGGAAGCTTCTGGAGGGCACGAGGTTAGTCAGGGTTAGGGGTTCAAGAAGATTGACAAATGGAAGGCGGACATGGAACTCCTCCCTGAACTGGGGGTCCTGAAACTTGTGGCCAGGATAACAGCCAGACACCTCAAGGAGAGTTTGGTCACTCTCTTATCCCACAGATAAGTGCGGCTAGACGCTTTGCACCACCTGCCCGGTGGAGACAGACAGAAAGGACAGTCCCTGTCCTCCCTGGTTCCCCACTATTGGGAGGAATCCCTAAGAGGCTTAAGGACAGATGGCAAAAGGCCTTTCCCTTCAGGCCTGCTGGTCCCTCCCTTCAGGTCCCTCCAGGCCTCATCTCCAGCACCCAGGAAACATCCACAGTCCTGCATTGGTGGAGTTTCCCCTCCTTACGGCTCCACCCCCTCCTTGGCCAGACAAGGCCAGGTGTTGTCACATGGGGTCCAGCAGGTACTCCTCCTGGGCTGAAGGCTTTGCATGTGATTTGCAAAAGCTGGGCTTGCAGCAAGCTCCTGCCCCTCCCCTCAGGCACCCTGCCCACCCCACCCTGTCAGATAGCCAGCCTTTCCTCCGGGGAGCACCCCAGGGCCTCTGCTCACCTTCCCCCCTACCCACCCAAGTCCCCCGAGCGAGCTAGAGCAGCCGTTAAGAGGCTTCCAATCAGCAGGCAGAGCCTGGGGATTTCTGGGTAGGGTGAGTCAATCATAAAAAGAACACCGTGCAGCTGGGGCCTCGGGACAGCATGAAGGGGTGAGTACCAACCTGCAAAAGGCTTTGGGAGTGAGAACTGGGGGCGCCCCAGCCCTGCCTAATGGCGGCCATTCAATGTCTTGGAGAGTCGTAACTGTCCGGGTATTTGGAGTTAGATGAATGAGGCTTTTTCAATTCCTCAGCTATTGTGGCACTGTGGGTCCAACAAAAGCTCTGGCCCCACCCTGCAGAGGCCAACAGATCCCCGAGAGGACCGCAGGGGAAAGCTGGACTACAAAGCTGTTCCAGAAGTGAGAGGGGAAAAAAAAAAATCCATCTAACTGCCAGTGAGTGCCAAAGTATTGGGCTAAGCCACACTCAACCAGGGCACTCAGGCCAAGTCTGCTCAGAGTGGCTGCAGCTCCCACTGCCTTCTTAGAAATAGGCCCTCGAGGCCGAGAAAGGCTCAGTGTTGGGCAAGGAGGGCTCAGAGGGCAAAGATGCTTGCTGTCCAGCCTTATTGCTTGAATTCTATCCCCCGAACCCACCCACATGGTAGAAAGAGAGAACCAACTCTCCAAAGTTATTCACTCGAATGCCTTCCCCCCACAAAAATAAATAAAATAAATAAATGTAATAATTTCTTTAAGCCTCAGTGTTGGCCTAAGCGTATGGTTCAGGACTGGAACACATGACTAGCATGCAAAAGAGCCTGGGTTCCATCCCCTGTATTGCAGAAACTTCAACTGAAAGGTCACACAGCCAGGCAGGGGGAAATCAGCCCTTTAACTAGGAAGCTGTTAAAACAGAACTTCGAGACGTCACCCCGGGTCCTTCCTCCCTACCAGAAGGACCAGCTGAATTAACCTCTCTTCAGTTTCCTTTTCTGCAAAATGGGGCTAGTAATAATACTGAATCATGCCGGGTGGTGGTGGTGGCGGCGGCGGCGGCGGCGGCGGCGGCGGCGGCGCCGCTTTTAATCCCAGCATTTGGGAGGCAGAGCCAGGTGGATCTCTGTGAGTTCGAGGCCAGCCTGGTCTACAGAGTGAGATTCAGGACAGGCACCAAAACAGAGAAACTCTGTCTCAAAAAAACCAAACCAAACCAAACCAAATGATAATGATAATGATAATAGTAATAATAATAATAA